ATAGGAATAAAATAAATTAAGGATTTATATACAAAGAAATATATGTAGCAATGTTTGATGTTGAGTGTTTGACGTCACAGACTCCAGAAAATAATCGTAAAAATATCATACTTTCGTCCTGAATATCGAGAAAACACTTCATACAGTGATTATTGGACCTTTAAAGAGTATTTTTAGAAAGTTTCAGCTGAATCCAAGTTTGAGCGATTTTCGTCGTAGTAGCACTTTAAGGATAAAGTTTACCCATTTCAGACCACGTCATACTCTTGTGAATAAAACTCATGTGTCTTCTCATGCGCAACTGTTAAACAAGGAAATGATACTCTAGAGAATAACACGTGGTATGAAATGGGAGAACTTCATTACCAAGGTAAAAGGATCTATTCCATGTAATATGAACTCGTTTTTAGTCTACTTCGTAAGAGAAGTCTTCACTATCTGACTTTTCCTTTATCACCTTACACAAGATGAAAAATATCTTATTTATAGTACACTCAACAAAATTACTCGAATCTGATTGGTCGAGAGGAGTACAATTGCAGCGTTAATTGTATTCCGTAGGAGTACCGAATTAAGTCGCTATGGCAACACGGCCAAAACAATGTCAACAGCTGCAAAAAAAAAAAAAAAAGCCGTAAAAACTAACAAGAACTAACCTTTTTTATGCATTTCAGTTGCGCGATGGACTGAAAATCGGCCGCCAAATAAACAAAGATGAACGGCGTCGCTTCGCATTTTTTACTGAAATTTTGTTACGTGCGATTTCCTATACTAATGCCAAAACATTATTTATAAAGTATCTTAGTTTGCAAATATGTCTCCCATTGGGAGCCAAATGTTTTTACATTCAACTGAATTGAATAAGAATTCCTCTCCTTGACCTTGTTCTTTGTCCAGCCAATTCCTGGCTAAACCATAGTTGACCATGGTACGCTTGACATTCACTGCCGAAGTGTATTCTACAAACTTGCTTCCCTCGGCTGTGCCAAAGTACCACATTGCCTGGACATCTTGGTGTTCTGTGAGATACTTGGTGAGATGGTCTCTGTCACCTGTCACTATGTTCACTACACCTCCAGGGAGATCTGAAGTGTCGAACACCTTGAAATAGAAAAAAAAGTTATTGCAAGAGAAAAGAAACGTTAAATCTAAGATTGAGTCCACTTTAAATGAAAATAAACTAAGAGAAGAAATCTCTGGTATTCATGTTTGTAATCATCAAATGCACCGTTTGATGCTATATTTAGAACCAAATTTAATATCGTTTGTTTATTCTGGATGCACATACAGCACATTATTTACTATTTTTGATCTCTTTTACTTGAAAAAAATAGCATCAATGGTTTTAAAAATAGCATCAATGGTTTTAAAGATAGCAGGAATGGTTCTAAAAATAGTATCAATGGTTCTAAAAATAGCATCAATGGTTCTAAAGATAGCAGGAATGGTTCTAAAAATAGTATCAATGGTTCTAAAGATAGCAGGAATGGTTCTAAAAATAGTATCAATGGTTC